GGCGGCGGCCCGGAGCCAGGCCCGGGAGCGAGCCCCGCAGACCGAGAATCCGTGTGCGCGGCCACGGGCGCCCAGAGTCGCCGGAACCCGCCGGGGGGCAGCAGAGCCGGCAGCGTAGCTCCTGTGTGCGCGCTGGGGGCGGGGGGCGCCTCGGCTTTCTCGCCGCCCTTGCCTTCCTCCACCAGGCACCCCTCACACGAAGGCCTCAGGGAAGCCTGGAACCGCCAACATGCTCCTCGACTTGAGTGACTGGCTGCGGAGAGAGGAAGGTTTGGAAAACGGGGCTGGTTCCAGTTTCCCCTTCTCAGGTCAGACTCTCGCAAGTCTGGAGTTGCTCAGGGCACAGAGCAAGACCAAGGGGAGGCTCGAGTGAAGTCGGTGCCATGGCCCATTCATCCCTTTTTTCTTTCTTCTTCTAAGGGAGACACGAGCAGGAGAGACAATAAATGAATAAATAGGTAAGGCCAGAGATTGGAGGTTTCCTTCCAGGAGCCCAGGGGAGTGAGCAGAGGTCAGGAGCTGAGCGCCCGTGGGCTGAACCCAGTTAAACTTTCCCAGGCTGAACCAGGTGCCTTTGACTTTCTGTACCCCCTCCTTTCCCTGAAAATATGAAAAATCACGTTTTGTGACAGTGTTGGCATAAAGACATACGTTATTTACTTACTAAAACGTTTTCTTCCATTGAAAAGTTCATTTCCCCCCAGATTTCTCTCCTCTCACCTCCTAGCAGCCCTGTACAGCTTGCCTCTGACCCCTGCTGCCCCTCTTTCTGGCCTTTGAAGTTTGAAGCCCTCCCTTACCGACTTTGGGAGCTCTGTCGGGCTCTGCTGTCCCCCAGGGCTCCCTTTCCGATTGCTGCCTAAGGAACACAGCCGCCGCAAATATTCCAGAAGAAAGAGCTGCGGGCCTTTTCTGACAATGGATGAAAAGCTACCCTTCCTTTCCTCAGCCTGTTCAGCGACCTAATTCAAACAATATTTTGCGACTTTTCTGCTGGTGGCCTGAGCTTCATGGCAGGCTGAAACCTCTGTGGCTGGCTGATCTGCCGCTGGAAGGGCACTGGGGGCCAGCTAAGCAGCTCTCCTCCCCTAGGTGGCCAAACCACTCCCAAGTGTTTAGAGATGGCCAGATGGGACCTCGCACACCCCTACCTCCTCTGAACGCCCAGCTCAGAGTTCAGGCCCTTCCCAGCCTGTCAGGCACAGTTGGTCTTCAGGGTGCTGTTGCACAGCTCGCTCACAGAGGGGGCCTGAGAGCCAGATTCGCCAGGATTTTCTCCTCAGCCAGCAAGAGACCGGCAGAGAGGCTGAATCTCTGCTCAGAGGCTGGGAGTTCATGTGGATACAGATGTCTGAAATCACAGTGGATTCCTCCCTGCTCGTGTCCAATTCCCTGTCTGAGCTGGATGCTCCTGGAACCCAAGCAGCATTTGTTCCTTTCCTAAGAGCAGGCCCATTCAACACCCATGTGCAGTCCTACAAATCTTCTGAGAGCTTTGTCCCCAAAAGCCAGGATAGAGAACAGAACAGGGAATGGAGAAAGGGGAGGTTTCTTGGCCTGTTGCCTGTCCTCTTTAGTGCCAGCAGGTTGGAGGGGAGGGGACCCTCCAGAGCTCTTACAGCAAATCTGTCTCCAGCCATCTGGGGTGGAGAGGAAGATTCAGGCTCTCTGGGCCTCAGTCTGCACATTCAGGAGGGGAATTTGCTTCTTAGAGTTTTGCTGGCCCAGGAGGAGACTGTACAAGGAACATGTCACTTCGAGAGGGGTTCGCTCCTGCCAAAATCACTTACAGACACTAGTGACCTCATTTCTGCCACAAGTAGCATGATCAGAAGGTAGCAAACCGTGCATTTACCGTGGGTGCCCCATCAGGAGGCGCTGTACAGCTTTTTTGTCTCTGTGCCACTTCCCTGTTGCAGCCCTGCCCTTCCTGTGTGAATCATGCATTCAGCTCTCCTGGAGTGCTCTGAGGATAGGATGGGGGTCCTTTCACTCATTGAGATCCCATTCGTCTCCATGTCCAGGGTCAGTATCTCCTGGAAGACCCTTCTTCCTATTTGACCCCGTAAGGTTAGCAGCAGGGAGTGGAGTCAGGCAACACACTGCTTTTCAAAAGGGAAGGCAGACTGGGCTGGTCTGCTTTGTCTCCTTGCTTTCCAAGCGGATGTGAGCATAAAACATTACGCTTCTCCTAGGAAAACATCCACACAAACCCAAATAGGACTACGCCAAGTCATGGAGAAAGTGTTACTGCAGACTTTGTCTTTGGAGCGGGAAGTGTGTCACCCCACACCCCAGTCAAGCAGCGAGAAGACACAGCCCAGGGCAGCGAGCGGGGGCTGCTCAGTATCACAGAAGGCCACGGTCTCCTTAACCCTCCATCCTCTGGCATCAAACAGGCCTCTGCCCCCATTCCATGCACACAAAGCAAGGGGTAGGCGGGGCAGAGTCAGCTTTTCAATGTGGTTACTGTGTATTTTTTTCTGTTTTCAATCTGGGATGTAACAGTAGCTAGGACAGAGTGTTCAATTACAGGATCAGGCTGCATCCTCTCCCAGCATGGGGTTGGCGGCAGGGACCAGCAGGGACCCGCTAGGCGGCAGTGACACTGCAGGCAGAGGTATGCGCTTCTACTCTTTGCCCCCCTCTCCCTTAGCCACTGTGCCCTGTTGCCCATGCTGGTTGGTGCCACCCACAGCCAAGAAGCCCACTCCAGTGACTTTTTTTTGCTAGAGGTGAGAAGGCAGAAAGAGCGTGTGAAAGGGTTGGATACAATTCCATCTTGAAGGAAAATGAGAGGCCAGGGTAGCTCTGGGCTGGCTTGGCCTTTGCACTGTGGGTTTTGGAGCACATACACAGATACACCTGTGGCTTTCTCTCGCTGCCACCATTCTGGCATCTCTTTCCTGGTACAAGGCTACTCTTCCTGGGTTGTGTTCCGGCCGCTGTGGGTGGCACTGGGCAGGGGTCCCACAGAGGAGGACTTCAGCAGAGGTACCTCTACATCACCTAGAGGAAATTCAAGAGTCAACTTGCCTCACGTATTAGCTTTGCTCATGGCTGAGACAACACCCAGCACCCACAATTTAAAGAAAGCACAGTTCAGCTTGCTTGTGGTTTTGGTCCATGGTCAGCTCACTCCAAGGCATAAACATGACGGCAGAAGGGTGTGGTGGAGCAAAGGTGCTTAGTTCATGGCAGCCAGGAAGAAGATCATGGGAACCCGTGCCAGAGAGGAGCCACTGAAGGACTGTACAGCACCCAAGATCATGCCTCCACTGCCCACCGAGGAGCATGGGTCACTAACCTGCTAGGTGTTTGCTTTAATCAAGTGCAGTTGACATATCAGGATTTACCAGAAACCCAGACTTCTGGTAAATCATTAATAGTGTTCTTGTCTCTTTTTGTTCTCTGCTGAAGATGGAGAGAGAAAAGGAGAAGAATAGATAGAAAAGACATAAAAAAAAAAAATAGAAAAGACATAGTTTATCTCCACTGGAGAGAGAGGGGCTTTGGATCCCTGTCTTAAATCTGGCGTTTATAGTGAAATACCATGGACAGGTGGCTTTGGCAACACACACATTTATTTCTCAGTCTTGCAGACTGGAAAGTCCAAGGCCAAGGTGGTAGCCATTTTAGCTGCTGCTAAGGGCTCTCTGCTTGGTGTGAAGAGGTGAGGGCAGAACAACCTGTAGTCTCCTCCTCTTCCATCATGGAGGCTCCTTCGTGGCCTCATCTGAACCTAATCACCTCCCAAAGGCCAAGAGCTTCAATTTATGGATTTTGTGCAATTCTCATCTGCCCTTACAATTACCCTTAAAATTAACTTTCGTTCCCTTGTAAGAATGGGCCTAGGACTGTGGTGCATGTGCGTGGCTGGACTGCAAGCCTGCACTACCTATAGTCTGTACCTGTGGCTTCTCTTGAGGAGTGCAAACCACCATGGCTTTGGTTTCTGGCTTCGAAGCCCTGGGATCTAATTGGGCACATACCCCAAAGAACTGGGGTCTGACTCAATGCTTCCTCCTGCTTGTGTCCTCCCGTTTTCCTAGGAAGGAGGAAAAGAGACAGAGATAGGAGAATATCCTCAAACCACCAATACTGGTGCTGAAATGCTCACTGACGTGCTAATGGGGAGCCAGGTGCAAGTTGGAGAGAATAGA